TGGAATGGCTCGAATTCAAGGGTGACACATTATACTAGTATAAACAAGAGTTAGTGCCCTTGGTCGCTGACAATCACTCCATTGGAATGGCTGGAATTCGAGGATGCTTGTGTCTAAATATAAAACGATACTAATAATTTTATACTAGTACTAGTAGATCTCTCTAATTTATAAAATCAACCCATTGAAGAAAAAATTGTGTGTGGTATGTGAAGGATGGTTTAAACATGTACTAATAATAGACAAAACTTTAAACATTTACTGATGGCAGATGAAATAAGTTTCCTTATATTTATTTGATCATTTGTAATAAAATGCTTCAATTAGTAAAAACCAATCCCTTCAGATAACTGTTCAATTCATAAAAACCAAATAAACGACAACCCGGCTACTCCAATCATCAAAATCCCTTCATTTTGCCTAAACTAATCCGGATTTTTTTTCACAACTCATCTTTGCTTTCTGTAGATTCTCCCATGAGTTCTTCAAGTGAGAACTCATCCTCTTCGATGATTTCTCCATCTTTACCATCCCATGGTTCTGTCTTTGCAATCTTTGGTTTCCCCTCCAATGGTAAATTTCCCTTCCCTCCGAGCCCTGCCTCCTTCACAAACTCGCTGACATGGACAATTTTTTTTTGCATATTCTAACATTATTTTGGTTCATTCATAAAAGGTGACATTCTACACAAAGTTGGAAAAGAAACACTTACATGATATGCTCGAGTTCAAATGCACTTTTGAGTGGGGCATATGCTCCTTTCTTGATGTTCAAGGCTACAAGAGCTGGATAACCATATCCGCCAACACCGACACGCATTTCAAGATCTGGTTGCTTACCGGCAGCAGCCCATACATAGCTATAGGAGATGAAACTATCATCAGAACGTATATACACAAATCGAGATGAGAGAGAATTAACTTCCATGGACTTGCCTGTAAGGACTTCTTTTAAATTTCTCTGCAACTGAAAATAACATCTCCAGGTACTTGTTCCTTCCTTCGGCCTTGGAGTCTAGAATGTCAGGTAAGAAAGCAACGAAGCATATGGCGGCTGAGCCACATTTTTCCTCCATCGCATCCTATATTGAATAATAGATTGTACTTTTCAGTAAACTACATAGTTCCGAAAAGGCTGAACTATTTTTGAATCATGCGTGTGACTTACTGGGCCAGTCAGCTCTGTCACTTCAACAGGTCCAACAATTGTTTCAAGCTGCTCTAGAGCAAATGATTCAATGGCAGAGGCGGTTCTAGCTCCCTCATAAGGAAGTGGGCTATCTTTGTCAGCCCCAAATACTAAGATGGTGGGGAACCCTTGTACATTGAACCTACTCATGAGAGACTACAAAGCCACACCGCATTATTAAAACAACAATACAAAAAACAATTAGAAAGGTTCCGATAATAACATAAATGATAATAATTATTATCCTTTTTTTCAAACTGAAAGTGTTCCAAAATAGAGAAGCACCTTATTCTGTTTAATAAGATTTCACAGGGTGGTTTCTGGGTATGAAAATATTCTCAGAAGGCAGATGCATTGCAATATCAAATCTAAACACAAAGTAATGGAAAATTCAACTTCAAAAATTTCGTATTCCTAAGTTGTAAATAAGCCGATCAGAATTGCAGCATATCCAAGTAAAAATTTATTGGTATAATTACCTTCTCAGAATCACAGTCAACATGACCAAGCTTCACCTTCCCCTTCAGGTTGTTAGCAGCCTTCTTCCACTCGGGAGCAAGTTTATTACAGTGTCCACACCTTCAAGGAGGTATTAATCACCACAATCAGAAGTTAGGAGCTAGAAACTTACTATGTTAGCAAGCATAGACTATGCGCAAAATTTTATGTAACATAGACTATTGCATTGAGATCGATTTAATCCCATCTATTTTATACGATATCCTTTGCAGTTTGCACAAGGCATATACATCTTCTATATCAAAATTTACAACTTCATAGACACATACGAAACATATTAATTGCTCTGTTGGACTATTGGTCTTCAGTAAATTCAATGTCATATGTTCAAAAGGATATTTGAAAATCACATCAAAAGTAATATCTTCTGATAAGATGGTCGCAGCATCATATTGTTGAATTAATATCTTTCAAAAGCCACACACACACAATTAATAGCTTCACGAAAATATCATGAAACTTAGAAGATTTGATTTCTTCTTATTCATAAAAAGATCATAAATACCCGTAAGCTTAAAGATCATAAATACCCGAAAGCTTAAAGATCATCCATTATCAATTTCATGCATGTGAGTATACAGTGATACTAGTGAAGCACCATTACTTCATGAGTATTAGACTAATAATTAAAGCATGCTTACCAAGGAGCGAAAAACTCCACAATCCAAAGTTCTTTACTCTTGAGCACCAATTCATCAAAGTTGCGGGAATTCAATTCTACTGATGAATTAGGTTCAGATTTCTCACTTGATCCTCCAGATGGTTTCCCATCCAAACGATCTTTCAATAGTGCCTTTACCTGTATAATTCATAAAAATTAACAATAAATCAACTCAAGTCCTATAAAATTAATTCACTTGAATTGCACTTCATAATTTTACAAATGACCTTAAAATTCGGTTAAAAGGGCTTAAACATAATGAAAAAGACCAATTATTTTGTTAAAGAAACCCAAAATTAATTAAAAAGAAAACACAAAAGAAAACCAATTTTACTGGTTCTCGGTTTCCCATTTTCTACCGATTCTAGCCGGTTTACTAGTTTTGTGGTTCAACAATTAACATTCTATAACAAACCTGCTTGAGGGCAAATTCTGCAATAGGCTTGACATCCCTAGCTCCCTGATAATCTACAGGAGGCTTTCCAGGGACAAAAACCTTTATTGTAGGAAATCCTCTAATCCCATATTCCTGTGTAGCAATCAGAAGAAAGTCTTATAAGCACATAAATTAACAGTGAACCAAATAATTTCCAGTCAGATGCAAGATATTATGTGTAAATCACAATCCCATCCAAAATGACAAAACCTAAAAGTTTAGACAAAACAAGGAAATGCAGGCAAACTATTATTGCTAGTTGAACAAACAGTATACCGACAATATAGAACCTAAATTACATCTCAGATTTAAGGAAAAGGAGTGTTTGAAAGATTTGAACTCCCCAAACCTGAGCAAGGGACTTGTGAGCATCAGCATCAAGGGCTGCCACAGTAGCAACACCTTTTAAGACATTGGTTGCTTTCTCCCATATAGGTGTTAAAGCTTGGCAATGTCCACACCAAGGCGCGAAGAACTCAACCAAAACAACTCCGTTTGAATTTAAAACCTGTCACAATTCAAAGATCATCGTGAATAATCTATTCGCCTTGAAAAGATTTGGCTCTCTCCCTTCTATAATTATTAATAAAAAATCGAAAATCAGATTCAAAGAAGAGATGTTTCATAATGCAATGAAACTGCTATGCTACATTTGTATCCCCTATATGGACTTTGATCACAGAGTATTAAATACCGCATATTAAAATCGTTGCTTAAACCCAATCGAAATGGTAAGAAGCAGAAAATTGTTATGTTCAACGAATAGAAACTCTTTAAACCATTCATCTGAACTTGAGAAATGTCCTATTTCTAAATTTAATTATAGAACTAACTCAAAATCAAAACAAAATAAAGGTTTTTTTATAATAAAATATAGTTAAAGTGGCAAAAATTCTAAAGAACTAATTCATTTTTAATCGCATTTAGTTTATTCAATTGTGATCCTACAAAACGATGCACTTGATTTAACAGAAATTTAGATCCTCCTTATTCTTTTCGATTCTTTTATACGGCATTTTCTTTTCCAAATCAACGGCGAATGATGAAAGGTTTACCTTGGACTTGAAGTTAGAAGGAGTGAGCTGAATCACGGGCGACGACGGTCCGTAAAGAGCGTTAGAGATGGTAAAGAATGTGAAGAACAATGATAAAGCTATTAGCAACGAGGATCGTGATCCAAACATTTTCTTTAATTTATTTTCCGTCAGTTACTCGGGAAATCGTGATTTTCCTCTTATCACCCAGATTGAAACTCTCTGTCGAAGAAGAAACCTCTGGACAGACAGTGTATACTAGAAAAATCCCCTTCGTCTTCAGATGAAGCTACGTGTTCTGGCCAATGAGGTTTAACCACGTCAGCTCGCCACGTTGTAAATAATCGGAAGAAAATTTTTATTCGTTGGACGAGGTCAAGAGGATGTGGGACCTTGAAAATTACTCTGCTTCCAACGCCTATTACTGACACGTGAGCCGTTTTCTACGACAATTTTACTCGAATAAATCCTATTTAAATATAATTTATCATTTTAATGTTCATCCCATATTATTTTTTAATCTAATATTTTTTGTATTACGTAAGTAAAAGATATTTTCTCTATGAATGGTTTTTGCAAAAATATTTTTCAAAAATTGTTTTTTTTATCGAAAATATCTCTCGTTTATGTGATAAAAAATGTCATAGTTCTTTAAGTTGAATTGAAATAAAATATAAATAAATATTAAAAATAGGAAAGAACATTATAAAAATTTTATTTAAAAAGAATAAACGTAAATAAAATGTGTCGAAGACATATAATTATTTTAAAAAAAATTAAACGAATTAATTTGGAAAAGATGACATGAAAATTCCATGGGCGTTAGATCATATCCATTGAAATAATTTTGAGAGATGGAATATCATTTCAGATAGTGAATATTTTTTAGGTATCAAATGATTGAAAAATGCAAAGTTCTATGAAAGATTATATTTAAAGTAGTAACTACTTTTTATAAAATTAAACATATTTAATATCAATATTAACATTATAAATGATTTAAATTAGTTTATTAAAAAAGGTTATGGAAAATAAAAATAAAAATTATCATATATATATATATATATATACTAAAATTACTTAAAAGAGTGGTACCAGTATTTCATATGTCAATGAAATTGCACGAGATGAGGAAACTTAAGCTTAAATTTTGTTATTTAGCACAAAATGATAATATATAAAAAATAAAGCTCAAAGTTGAAGGTCAATGGAGGTTGAGGAAGGAAATCATAGGATCATAGACAACTTGGCTAGCATTAACACCAAGAACGAAATCTGCATGTGCATATTCCTCGCTGTATACTTGAAACAGCTCACCCTCCTCATGATCTTTGAGGTCATTTAGCAAAGCCTTCACATCTTCAACATCGGCTAACATATCTTGACCGCCATAGCCGAGGAAAAGAGGAAGCTCTTTCGGGATGTTTCTCATGTCGTGCACCGGTGGACTCGAGTTACCGTACTGCTTCCTTTTCTCATCTTCACTGCCGTAATCATACATCGCTATGGTCCCTGTTCTTATCACTGTTTCAACAACATACCAAATGCCCCCACAGTAATTACAAAGCAGATGGGATGAAAAGATTATGGAAGTTAAAGGCAGTTACTTTGAGATAAGTGGATGATGTTCTTAGTTGCAGTTGGCTGGGGTTCATGTTTAAGTAAGACGCTTGCCTTGGAAGTGTTTACACAGCAATTTGGACCTGTTAAAGCAGTCATTATATCGGAGCAATTCGTGCCTGCTTCATTGCATATCTTTTCCAGAATTGGTCCAAGGATGTCCCTGTTCAACATCAACCAACAAGAATTTCAAGTAGATATATTGACTGCATTGAATTTGATGATGTTTATGTTAATCAAGTTTATTGATTCTCACCAGCCTGGTGGGAATTCAGAGTAACCCAAGCTGTCTAGTTCCTGTTGGTTAAACAAAAGGGAACTGTTAAATTGATGGTGAGATTTATGTACATCCAATATTATTGAAATATCTGTCTTACTTCGACTAGATGCAGCTGAGCAGCAGCTTTTGTTAATATCGACTGAATCCGGTTCAGGTAAGCGATCGGACAAAGCAAAGCAGCCGATCTGAACATGTTTATCAGCTTATCTTGTTGGGAAAAGGAAGCTAAAGCAATCAAAGTTCCCTAAAAAAGTTTTATTTTGTGCTTAGCATATGCCATGATAGATGGTTTTGAACCCAAAAAAACTGCAGTAACTTTTACCAAGGAATGCCCAACATAATGCAACTTCTGCCCAGTTTCACAGTTAACATATTGGACCAAAGCTGAAAGCTCATACTGGACTAATTCATCCCATGACCATTCCCAATAAGCCTGTAAACAAAAATATATGTAATAAATAAAGATGTGAAGATCTAATCATGGATTACGATAAATATAAGAGATCGAACCGAATCGGACTCAGAGATGTATGTCCGCTACTGTTTTACTACAAACTGTCACAGCCCGCGAATTTAGGTCCGAGATATATGTGCAAGTACTCACAAGAAAAGGTTCTTTGTGTCTATTTGAGGCTTGGCACGAACCTTGGAGAATGTTGAAGATTTCGTGAAGGATCAAGGCTGAGTCCGTTTGTGTGGAGCGACGAAGACGTTGCTAGGTCCAGTAAGAGTAAATGTCTTGGCTCGTGGATTCGGAATCGAGACATGTGCATAGATATCCGCAGAAGTGTTGTGCGGAGTATTGGGCTTATCCAGATCAACATACTTGGCCCGATTTTTAGAGAATAAGATTATTCCTTAATTTAAAAAGACATAATTACTTAAATTAAATTGATAATGTAGATAATGTTTAATTTGAATTCGAATTCCTTAGATAAGATAAAATAGAGATCTTAATTTGATCTAAGTCGATGGATCTTGGGGAGTTTTACTATAAATAGAGTCTCTGCACCTCATTTGGAATCATTTCATCTCATTTTCATTTTCACTTAGTCCGTACAGTGTGCACATTGCTCAACCCTTGTAGCTAGTATAGTCTCGTTGGTGATAAATTTCACATATTTTTTAATCCTAGTGGATTTATTCGTCGCTTGGTGAATTTAAGTCTTCATATGGGTGTGGTGAAGGTTGACTTAGACACCAACTCAATCAAGAAAACATCTAAGATCACACAGATTATCTAGTCGAAACTCTAATCTCATAACTGAAGTTGTGATTATCGATATAACTCCCAATCTCTCTGAATTTTTCTTTGTCGAAAACAACGCATACATGATACAACAACAGTAACATCAAGCCTAACTTCCTATTTTCTGGTGATGGAATCAGTGTCCAATTGTTGTTTTACTACGAAACATTAAATTCTTCGATAATTGTAGCTCGCCAATGATGAGTTGATATTACCTGAGTAATTATGACCAGTTCTTGATCAACATCGGTTGAGTATACCTTTGGTTTAAAGATCTCTTTTACTTTGAGTAGTCATTATTCTATCTAAATTTAGGGAGAGTCTATTCTACTTAAAATTTGATTCAATTTTAAGATAAAAGTTTACATTCGACACATAAATATTTATTTTTCATTTTTATTCAATAAAATAGATATTTAATTAAAAAAATAGATAAATAAAAATTATTATAATTATTTTTAAATATATAAAAGATAATTATACTACTATTATTTTTAGTCAATCAAATATTTTTTACACTAAATTTGACCCGATTAAAATTAAATTCTACATAATCAAATTAGATTAAAATTCATCGACTCAGAATCTCATGTCTTTCCTTAAGTGCATGTCCATCATAGATTTAATCCGAGACGATATTTTAAAAATAAATATGTTTTAATGAATTTTTTGTATCTAAAAGTGAAAAAATCTAAGTAATTTTCACATCAATTTTCGGCTGGCGCTATCCAAATTACAAGATAGAAACCAAAAGGTCTAGAAGGTGACCGACGGCGTGGTGTATTTTTACCCTCACAAAAACCGCGCAATGGGCCCCTCTTTTATTCCTCCCAAAACAAATAAAATATTCCAAAAAAGTAACACCAACCAATAAACCAAACATGGAAGAAATCTCAACGGGAACCGACCCTCGTGTCCCGGCGGTTAAGCCGGACAAGGCAACTCCCGTCGAGGAAGCTCCGTCTCTTTTCGAAGCAACCGCCGTCGCCTCCGCTTCCGTTTCCGAAGATGCGGGGGTGGATAAGGATTTGTTGTGCCCGATTTGTATGCAGATAATTAAGGACGCGTTCCTAACGTCTTGCGGTCACAGCTTTTGCTACATGTGTATCATTACTCATCTTCAAAACAAGAGTGATTGTCCTTGTTGCACTCAGTTCCTCACTAATAATCAGCTTTTCCCCAACTTTTTGCTCGATAAGGTTAGTTTTATTTACTCTTTATTTGCTCGAATTTTGGATTTAATTATGGTTTCGAATAGATATTATTGAATATATTTCAGAATCATGGTCCTGTTTTTATGATTTCTTGAAAATAAGGCTTGACTTTGATATGATTTGAATTTTCTATTTACTAGAACGCAAAAAACCTTTTAGATGTCTTCTGTATAGTGACCAAGTCTAGTCTTATGATTCAATTTTAGCATCTGTATGAACTGAAAGCGAATATTAATCGCTTTAGTGATAATTGGCACAGTTATTTTTCCTGTTTCTCTTTTGTCTTACAATCGTTTTCCCTATGCTTTCACAGTGTACTTGGGGAAATCTTGCCGGGTTTAGCATTTTTATACCCAGTAATCAGCACTGAAAACAGTTAAATTCCCCGCGGGGGGTTCAGAATTAATTTCGTGGAGATTCCTACTATCTATTTTCCGGAATCCCATATTTCAGGATATCCCATTTCTTATTTCACAATGCTTCAGATAATGATGAAAGATCAAAACTGAAAAATTCAGAATTTAGATCATCTTTATTGTTTTCTTATGTTGGCTGCATGATTTCAGATGTCGTAGAAATTGTAATTTGACTGTTTGTTTTATGATCATGTAATTATATCTTGAAATTGTCTATTCTACTCCAGAATGCAGCGTATCATTATACGATTTCTCTGTACTTCATTTGTAGCTTTTGAAGAAGACATCAGCTCGTCAAATATCAAAAACTGCATCCCCTGTGGAACAGTTCCGTCACGCATTACAACAGGTTACTTTCTTTTGGAATGGATCTTAATTTTTTCATTTATCTTATATCGAGGAATGCGTGCATTTAGCTTTCAAAATCAAGTTTTGGTCGGTGGGTGTTCTTCTGCAAATGATGTCTCTCTCACTCACACACACACAGACTCAGACAAACAACAGAATACTTCTTCAGAGCTGCCTTTCTTACCTTCCTTTTGGAATGACATGCTCAAAGAAGGCTTGCTAAATTAAGTGCATTAGTTTGTCCATTGACTTGATCTTTCATTACTGTCAATTTAGTGCTTTACTTGCAGTACATTTAAGGTACTTAGGTTGTGTTTGCTAGGCATAGTTATGCAGAGAGTAGGATAAAGGTTATCTTATACCATCTTTTTCCTAATCCATAAATGACCAAAAATGAGATTTGAGATTACTTTTTATCTCAAAGCTGGGAGCAGATCCAGCTTTGTTATCTGTAGATGCATATCTAGCTACTCTATAGACATTATCCTTAGGAACCAAGAATTATTGCTGTTATTTTTCCTATTTTAATGTACAAAATATCCCCTAACGTAGTTTTTAAAGTGTTTGATAATGATAATGTATAATTGGTTTTAAGCTTTCAGCTGTCAGCTTATAAGAGTGTAGTGAATTTTCATGAATAATAGTTTTAATATACTATTTTCACCACCCACTTCCGTCAACTAAGCATCACATTTGATGTCTCTTTAAATGGAACAGAAGAAGATGAGCTCATAATTTCTTGTACTTGAGCATTTTTCCAACTAAATGTGATTCTTTTGTGTTCCTGAAGCAGGGTTATGGGGTCACAATCAAGGAACTGGACAACCTTTTGTCCCTCCTTGCAGAGAAGAAGAGAAAAATGGAACACGAAGAAGCTGAGAGAAATATGCAAATACTGCTGGATTTTTTACACTGCTTACGGAAGCAAAAAGTTGATGAACTGACTGAGGTTTGTTGCATGTATTTTATGCCACTATTTTTTCTGATTACACATTTTTTATCATCCTTCTGTTCAACCCAATTCTTTCTTCAATTTGACTGATCAATTCTGGGTGTGTTGTTTTTTACTGTTCATATATATTTTCATTAATTGTGATATTTCTTCTTCAGTAGCTCTAGCATATTCTTACTTTAATTTAACAGTTCTTTTTTTTACAAATAACTACAATAATTTATAATTATTTTTATCTTATTTTTTTCGCTGAAAAGATACTTTTCTTTTCTGTAGGTTCAAACTGATCTTACTTTTATTAAAGAGGACCTAAATTCAGTGGAGAGGCATAGAATGGATTTGTATCGTGCAAGAGATCGATACTCCGTGAAATTGCGGATGCTTGGGGATGATTCTAGCACAAGAAAGCCGTGGTCTTCATCCACAGACAAAAACAGTAATAGAATTGTCTGTAGTTCTCCAAATATCAGAGGGATGCCTGCAGGGAATCTTCAAAACAAGAAAATGGATGGAAAGACACAGTTGAGTGGTCATGGTAGTCAGAGAAAAGATGCCTTAAGTGGAGCAGACTCACAAGGTTTCAATCAATCTGGTCTCTCTGTTGCAAGAAAAAAGCGAGTTCATGGCCAGGTTTGTGATTTTAGAAGGTTTCAGTAGCAATTTTTTTTTTGTTTGGTATATGTTTTAATCTTTCGTAGTTGTAATTGATGATAATGCAAAATAACATTAAGACTTGAATTCCATTTGGTTTCTGATTTTTTTTTTAAAAAGGCCAAAATCCTATTAATGATCAACATCAACACTCCTGGTTGGCTTGATTATGATACAATCTAGTTGAAATATGTTAAATGTACTTTTCTATTGC